ACAACAGAAACCTAGAAGGATCACTCCCCATAGAGTATCCAAAAGACTCGACCGGCTCTGATACCATAAAAGTGTAACGACCTGCCATGGTCTCTACACTTAGTGGAATCGCACTACAACTAGTTAACTAAGAGAATATTAAACTAGATAACTCATACATACAAGCATAGATATAAGGATCAAAATTACTAAGTTTCTGTATACAAAATAAAACACCATATATGTACAGTCATCCCAAAATATTCCCTAGTGCCGGTCAAGCACAGGCAAAATCGTTACCAAAAAAAAATTGTAACTCTAACACGAGGCTCAAACTCTCCGTCTCGCAGCGGACACCTCTACTCTAAGCTATCCCTGACCTGCTCCCATACCAAGTATGATCATTGCAGTCCCACCACATGGAAACAGAAGGGTAAGCTAGAGTTCAAAAACAATCATACAAGTACAGAATAAAATCTATACTATACATGCATCCCAATCAAGCCCCAAAGGAACCTTCCATCTCAATCAATCATCCATTCATCATGGATGAAGAGTTTCAGATGTTGTAATCTCTTACAACATTTTGAGGGATATACAGACGTAGTGGCTTATTGAGTTTACTTTCCTACTATGTTTCCGACTGTACAGAGTGGTACATGTATGAGTATTCTAGTGCATCAGATGTGATCTACTTTTTTATATAGAACATGCTTTATTTGAGTAGATAAGATGATACCTGTTTTACCTATACCAGTTGTTCGTCTTCCTTGTTCTTCAGCTTTCCTTTGTCTTTGTTCTTCCATGGATCGTTATGTACCCTTCCATTGTTAGATGCTCAACCTAAGGGGTTAAGCTTTCATACCAATTGAAGTTAGACATGAAACACATATAAGGGGGGTTGAATATGTGTGTGTGTGAACAAAGGTATTTTAAAAACTTTTTCTCAAGAAAACTTTCTTTCGTCCTGTAAAATGAGGTTAGTAATTGCTAAATAAAAACTACCCAGGTTTGGTTTAACAAAATGATTCTTCGTCTGGGAACTTTATCGTCTGCTTAAAGAAAATGCTTCTTAACCACAATCCTTCCTTTATGATAATAAATTAAACATGTGTGGTTTTCGTCTGAAGATAGTTGTAACAAATGATAAACGATGGACAAAGTTTTTAGTAGGTTAAATCAACTACGTGAAAGTGAGTCTAAAGCTTAATAAAATAGTGCAAGTATTTTTATACTGGTTCGCTCAAATTGAGCTACATCTAGTCTCCTTCAAATGAAGGGTTCCACTAGATAAACAATTAAGTACAAGTATTCTTTAATCAGCCTTTTCAGGCTTGCAGTGAGTATTATGGACCACTCAGGTCAGAACCACTACTGGTCCAAGTATTCTTGACCTCTCCAGGTCCTAAGTATTCTAGACCATCCTGGTCACGGCCACTCCTGGTCACGAGTATTCTCAATCACTTCTGTTTGGCTAGCTTCACTCACCAGCTCTAGTATTCTTAAACCACTTCTAGTTCCCTAAGTATTCTCGACCACTCTTGGCTCGCCAGCTTCACTCACCAGTGCTAGTATTTTCTTATCAACCACTTCTAGCTAGCAGTGAGTATTCTCGACCACCTCCTAGCCCATCGGCTTCACTCGTCGATGCTAGTATATTCTTATCAGCCACTTCTGGCTAGTATTAAGTATTTTTTGACTAGCCTCTCCAGGATTTACAAGTATTCTTTTCTTAGCCTCTTCAGATTTTACAAGTGATAGACGTATAATCAGGTTTGAGTGTTTGGTTTACTCTCATAGAGAGGATACATATATGATCTACATTCTCTAAGGTTTCACTACCTTAGTCCTATAGAGATTCTGATTGTGTGAGTTACTCTTTACAAAAAGGATACATAAGATTACAACACTCACTAAGGTCTCGTTCCTAAGAAACACTTGTGTCGCCACCCGCCGAAACGGACATGTAGTTAGGGATTTTGTTATTTTCTTTGTTTTAGTTTCAAAAGTTTGAATTGTAATTGTTTATCACTACTCTGTTTACTTACCTTTTGATGAACTAGTTTGTCTTTATATTTTTATATTTATGTGAGGATTACCCTCTCATCACGTACAAAAATTACATGCAGAACGACCCGTTTTGAAATTAGAACAGCTCGTTTTGGGACTCATCCAGAACGGCCTGTTCTCCATCCAGAACGACCCGTACTCCCTCCAGAACGGTCCGTTTTGGGGTTTGGAACGACCCGTTATCCCTCCAGAACGACCCGTTCTCCCTCCAGAACGGCCCGTTCTCAACTACGTTTTTCAGGTCAATTTAGTAGTTTGGAACGGCCCGTTCTAGGCTACTAAATCAGCCATATTGGGCTTTTGGGCTTTTTTTTTTGAAAATTTACTATGTTACAAGAATAGTCTTTCAATTGACACTTCACCCATAACAATTGTGAACAACAACTAGTAGTAGAAGTAGAGAGGCTATAAAATTTTTCTTTTTGCTTGCCTATGAGATGAAGCAAGGACCTAGAAAATGGCATCCTCCATTTTTTTTCTCTCAATTCTATGACCAACATAGTCTACATCTTAGAATCCTATTAACCTAAATACATTTCTTATAGAAAAGTGTTAGATTAATAATTCTATCAAGATATCTATAGATACATTTCGCAACTTTAAAATGAGAGTCTCTAGGAGCAAACTGAAAGCATGCACATAGATATACATTGTGCATGATGTTAGGTCTATTTGTAGTAAGATATAGAAGTGAACTAATCATACCTTTATAGATCATATGATTTACATGTTTACCTGATTCATTCTTTGATAGACCTACAAACAAATGTGTAGGCATTGACATAAACTTGCAATCATTCATCTTGAACTTTTACAATAATTCTTTGGTATATTTTTGTTGATGAATGAAGATGCCTTCATCTATTTGCTTAATTTTTAATCCTAGAAAAAGCTTAAGTTCTCCCATCAAGCTCATCTCAAACTTTGTTTGTATTAGCTTAGAAAAATCATTACATAAAGATTCAATAGTAGCATCGAAAATAATATCATCAACGTATATTTGTACTACAATAAAATGTGTCAAATTCTTTTTTAAACAAATTTGTGTCAACTTTGTCTCTCATAAAGTCATTATTGATTAAGAAGTTACATAATCTGTCATACCAAGCCCTAGGAGCTTGTTTAAAGAAAAGTCTCTTTAGGCTTCAAACTTAAACACAAGTTAATGTTGGGTAATAAAAAATGTTTCGTCTTACTTACAAGACACGATACAACAATTAAGAGTTTTACATAGAAAGAATGAAATGAATTTTTACAATAATTGTTTTCTCTTATTCTTTCTAAGTTTTCAAGCTTTTTATATAGGTGTTTGATAAAGATGACCATTGCAAAGCATTAAGCTTCACTCGTAGACTTGTTTCATCTTTCTGTCTTTTTTCCTTGTAGAATAAGATTTTCGTTGGTGCATTAAATGCAAATATTAAATGTGTTTCACTAAATTGTCACTTTTTATTTGATTAAGGAGGTTATTTATCACCTTTAAGGTGCCAAATGGGAGGAAATATTGCATGTGTTAATCAAAATGACTCTTATCAGTGACTTTGCACACTTTGAGATATTTGTTTGTCCTTTCTCTAAATACAAGAAAATCTCTAATCCATTTTGAAGTTCAAGTACTAAGGAACCTTTTATTCCTTCAATCAATTAAAGAATAATATTGATATGGATGATATAATAATTAGGCATAATAAATTATATATTTAATACATTCATCTTAAATAGATGAAGAATTTGGATCCTCTCCTGCAATATTCTCTCTCCAGCCTCTCTCCTGCAATATTAATAGTCATTAGATATATCTAATGGCTCAAATTTGATCATTTAAAAAGTTACATTAATTATAAGATTAAATTTGAGGCATTAGATATATCTAATGGCTATTAATATTGCAGGAGAGAGGCTGGAGAGAGAATATTGCAGGAGAGGATCCAAATTCATAGATGAAATATTTCATATGAGAGAGTACATGTCATTATAACCAATCATCTTATACTTTCATTTTTCTTATATGATATTAAGAAATATTTCTTTGTCAAAAACTTTCATGTTTATTAACATTAAAACATGTATTCTTGAGGAATCTAAGATCGTTCTTTGATCTTATATAGTGAATATTTTGAAAGTTTTTTTTTTTTTATAAGATTATTTTCTTTTATCACACCTATGTGTAAGTTAGTGTACATTGTGTGTATGAGTCATCCCTTTTACGTTAATTTTTTTATTTACTTTAAACTCTAAATTTTAATAATAATTGACCAAGAAAATTAAAAAAAAGATTGGCATGCATATTTAAAAATATATTTTGTAAGCTTATAAAAAAAATTAAGCTTATTGGTTTATTTAATGTTATTAATATAAAATTAACTTTTAAATAGATTAATAGATCAAATTAGACTTTTAAAAGGTTAGAAAAACCTATAAAAAAAACCTATCGTAAATAATAAATCAGGCTTATACTTTAATTTTATAGAACAAACTCATCTTATATTTTCAAAGTATGAGCTGTCCTATTCCCATGTGCTGGAAATATGCCTAAATATCTTTAGGAGAATAAATTAGTTTTTGATAAGAATATCTTATTTATATTTCAAATATTTAGATTTAATCTATTTTGATTATTTTAGGATTTGTTTCCTTGATTTTAGAATAAGATAATATCAATATTTGATTTTGTATAACAAATATTCTCTATAAATAGAGACCTCATGAATAAAATTAGATTATGGTCCTCTGATAAAAATAACTCTCATAAAATATCCCCTCAAATAAATACCTTGAAATAACTCCATCACCATATCTAGTTATTGCAAATCAATAATGATATTTTCACTCTATCTTCACCATATCGGTCATACACAACTTTTTTGTTTTATAAATAAAGCAAGAAAAGCACATGTTTCGAGATTCTCTCTTTATCTTTTTTTTTTTTTTTTTTTTTTTTTTTTTTTTTTTACTTTTTTAAAACAAAAAAAAATGTAGGCAATAGTGTTACCAAATGATTATCAAAAAACATAACCCATGATAATAGATATCGCTAAAGAACTCACATTGATAGGTGGTATGGCCAATATAGGGAACAAAGCTTATCTTATAAGTTAGACTCATAATTCACTTTCATTAGATAATATAAGAGTTTATCCTAGTAATAATTGATAGTTGTTGGCCTTATCGATTCATCACTATATCACTTACAATTGTCCAATTCTGTAAGCTTTGCACTTGAGCTATAGTCTTTGACACGAGGGGTGATGAAGATACTAGTAGTATAATCAATTACATACAAGAGAAAAACAATACTTGTCTTATAAACTAGTTTTATAAAATTAAATTACACTGATAATCCACTTTCTTAATAAATACAATTAAGACAAAATATACTTTCAGAAACTTAATCATTATATACACACAAAAAATATTGTGACCTTCCTAAAAACATATTACTTTTCTGTGTTTCGACTTTCGATAACTTGTACACAGATTTCCTGCATCCTACAAGAGATAACTAAGAAGAAAAGCATGTCCTGATCTATTTATCATCACCTTGGTATCACTTCAGAGAGTGTTGCTTCATTGACAGAGTAATGCATAGAAGTGTTTGATGAAGACTCTCGTTCAGTGGCGGCTCTTCCAACAGAAAATGCAGGCCGTGTGGGGACGGGAAGACTCACTGTGTCACTTGCAAGCATATGAACAACATTTGACATTGTTGGTCTATCTGCTGCATCTTCTTGTACACACAATAGACCAATGTGCATGCACTTTAGAACTTCACTACGTACACATGAATTTTCTATTATCGGATCCATCAATTCCAAACCTTTGCTTTCACACCAGAGCTTCCATGCCTAAAAAATAAACGTGTATGATTTAATTAAAAGCAATGGAAGAAAATAAATGTAATAAGGTTACATATGTTTTATATCTCTGCATATACAGCATCTTTCGTTTTTAGTCCCCTTAATTTATTTTTTTAATTTTTGCTATTGATCCTTGCAATATTTGCTGTCACTTGTTTTAGTCCTCACTATAAAGGTAACTGGTAAGAACTAAAAACAAAAGCTGCTATATTTTACAAGGACTTGAAAGCAAGTACTAGAAACAAAAATCTTTATATCCGGAGGGACTAAAAATAAAATCTGTAATATTTTGCAATATCATTACTAAAATTGCTATATTTGTAGGAACACAAAACATGTTAACGGTAAGTTTACCACATGCACCAAAATAAGTAATGATGAGCATTACAAAGATCAAAACAAAAAACAAAAATCCCACGGAGACTAAAGGCAAAATGTTTTGTACTTTTTGGGACTTTAAACATATTTAAGTCTAAACATGAATGAGGAAACATACATATATGAGAAGGCTTTGGCCTTGGTCTGACAAATAGAATTTACTGTTCTTTTTTCCACTGATGATCTCCAACAAAAGAACACCAAAGCTGAAAACATCTGACTTCACTGAAAACAAGCCTTCCATAGCATACTCTGGAGCCATGTATCCACTGCTCAAAATCAATGTAACAGTAAAATTTATCAATCTCATTTTGCATGTAAATTCATCAAATAAAGCATGTTAAAAAACAAAATGTTATGCAATGTGGCAATTCATAGTTGCATCATATTGTCCATGTGACGAATTTGGCTTGGTATGGAATAATTTTATACAAATGAAAGAAATAAAAATGGTTTATACTTACTAAGTTCCAACAACTCTAATAGTATTTGCCTGCTTTTGGTCTCGTCCAAATGTTCTAGCCAATCCAAAGTCTGAGATTTTTGGATTCATTTCATGGTCTAATAGAATGTTGCTAGCTTTCAAGTCTCTGTGAATAACCCTTAATCTAGAGTCCTCATGTAGATATAGAAGCCCTTTAGCAATGCCATTAATAATGTTTAATCGGTGCTTCCAGTCCAGATGTGTACCTTTCTCCATATCTGACAGCAAAATATATAGCAATGCAATTCTAAGATATGGCTATATAGGTTAGTATATGTACTAACTACTAATGTATATACTCAAACTCTATGAGAAGTTTTATATCTGAATGTATGTTTATAATGATATTGCATCAAGTGGTTGATTTTTTTGCAATGATGAGAAATGTAATAATAATAATGAACAGGTTCATCGTTTTGGACATACCAAATAGGTGGAAATCAAGGCTTGAATTAGGCATGTATTCATATATAAGCAGCTTTTCATTTTGCTCAATGCAGCAAGCCAACAGTCTCACAAGGTTGCGATGCTGCAATTTGGCAATCAATAATACTTCATTCTTGAATTCCACCACACCTTGAACAGAAGTTTTTGAAAGCCTTTTAACAGCAATTTGCCTTCCATCTGGTAAAACACCCTAGAAAATTTTTCAAATTTCTAAGTAAGAAAGTTGCTAGGGGAGAAATCAATCAAATAAATACCATGCAAGATATCCTAGTTTACTACCTTATAGACAGGGCCAAATCCTCCTTTTCCCAATTTATGTTTATCAGAAAATTTATCTGTACTTTTTAAAATAGTACTCAGAGGTATCATAGGAAGGTCACAGTTCATACTCTCTCCCTGGTCTGTTTGATCTTGAGAAAACATTGAATTTAGTCCATTCTCTTGAACAGCTAGTTTGTCTGCAAAGATGAAATTATCAAACATAAACAGGAACTGATAGATAGCATCTGCTTAAAGAGCTTTTGAGAGTTAATGTTTACCCTTTTTCCGTTTCAAGCACCAGAAGTAGTATGTGCTTATAGCCAATAGAGATACTACTACAATTCCAGCTACAACTATGACTACTGTAATCCACCACCTTGTGTTGTCCCCTTCTTTGGCTGCATTAACAAAAGAACATGTTCCATTTGAGAAAAATGGTGATAAAAGTGGAAATATTTGTTATTTTAGGCCTTGTAAGCACATTTTTTTAAGGAGTTTGCCTTTATTTTATATATTTTTTTTGTCTGTGGACATGATACATGCATTGTTCCAAAGCTGATAACGAGGAACTAATCTGCTACTTTATACATTGCTTTAAAGAGATTGTGAACTAATACATCAGTATAGCATGCTCGAGAAGAGTGTTAGCTCAAGTAGCACTACCTTAGACCACTTGATAACCAAAAATATAAAAAGAACCAACATAAATTTCAGTCCTTAAAAGTGGTAACTTGTGTTTCTATGGTTCCTAAAAGTGTACGCCTATAGAAACTTGTTCCTAGAAGTGTGAACTTGAAAACAAGTTTACCCTATCTAGTTGTCAAGATGTAAGCATTTTCATCCTTTAAAGTACTAATATGTGTAATGAAATCTTTTAGGATTAAACTACGACAAAATCAAATTTTAGGGGGATGAATTTCCACTCTTTGCATCATATAAATCCTAACAATTGGTACTAGATAAATGGTAGTACAAAAGTATTATAAAGAACTGTGAAAGTCATAGGTGAAAGAATGGAAAAGGAACCTTGCTGAGTCGCTGTATCATTCACAAAGAATGGTTGAGTTTCGTACATGAGAATACAGCTTGGCGAAAAGACACGCCACACCTTCTTCTCCTCACAACAATTTTCAACATCCTCAAGCATATTACTCAAACATGTTCTGCACTCCTCAGCAGTAATATCTCTGCTGCACTGCACCCAGCCATACCTTCTCTGAGTACCATTTATGTTGAACATATGTGTCCCAAACATCAAGGGTGTCTCTGACCCCATTTGTATCAAACCATTCATCAAGACCCTGGCATCACTGTCAAATTCTCCAGCACTTGTAAAATTCTGCGTGGCGTCGAACATCGGAATCCTCGGCCTTATGGTGAGGTTGCCAAAGAAATTCTGGTTTGAGTACCTCAGTAGGCAAAAGGGGTACCACAGAATTGCTGTGGCATTGTTGGGGCAGTGCTGCTTGAGCAATCTGCTAGAGTTTTGGACACATGAGTGGCAGAGGCTGGTGTTCACATCACCACGGCAAAGGTAGAGTCCATAAACCATGTTGCTTGGATCATCATCACCTGAAGTTCCGTTTCCAAAACCATTGCTGGTAGCAGAATCAGATGAGAGGGTTGAGATCAAATTGTTGAGGTTGGCTTGGTATGTGGCAGAGGGAGGATCAGAAGATTGGTCTAAACAAGCATATCTATAATCAAGTGGTTGTGTGTTGCTACTGTTCTGGCCAGCAACAAAGCAAAGAAGGGATACCAATTTGATTATGCTTAACCATTGATAGATCATTGTTCTTCTCTTGCTACAATCACCACAGTGTATCATCAACATAATTATTGTGAGGCTGAAACCTTAGAGGCCTGGATTTCATTGTAATATATGATGAATTTGTCAAATGTTTTGATATTTCTTTTAATAATCATGATATAGATGCAAAATATGTATCCTTAATAATTAATTTCTGTAGTTTTCACTCTCAATTAGATTTTTGTTATGAATATTTAACTGTTATTATTTATTATTACCGTTTATACCTGATTTTAATATTATTATTTTATTTGTAACTATTTATGTTTATAAATAGACTATTTTATTATTGAAAATAATATAAAAAAACTCTTTATTCTCTCCTTATGTTATTATCTCTATAACTTTTATTCTTTCTCTTTATTACTTGTATATTATAATTTATAATATTATGTTGATTTTCATACCAGTTTCTTCCATTTAGAATATTTAAACTCAAAAAGTTGTTTAAGGAAGCTGACTCCAATTCTATCTAAACTAATAACGTGTTGGTAATCCTTTTCACATTGATGTACCATGTACATTTTCATGTTCTTGTCGGAATGGCTACTAGCTTGTAGCGCAAATTTTCTGACCATCGACAAAAGTGAATTTGAAATCCATGTAGAATTAAGAAAGTTCAAACAATATTTTGCTTTTGCTATAAGCATAATCGTGACAGTGGTTTTTATTTAACATTATTCGTTATGAAATAGTTCAGTTCATATTAGGAAGTGCATTGGTGGGGTAGGTTAGAAATTTCTCACAGAAAAATCAAATGCATAAAGTGGTAGTTTATAGAGCGGACAAACAGTAAAATATAAAGCGTGGTCAACATTGTTTTTTTTAGTTTAGGTCAACATTGGTACCTTGCTAATAATCGAGTTTATGTTAATTTTTACATGTGGCCATATGCGATTCAACGTCTGCATCATGTTTAGTCATCAAGATAATGTAAAATATTTGAAATTTATGCTTCGGGTTATCAAATAATCATATTATTATTTTTATTATTCAAAGCAATTAAAATAACTCAAAGTTGAAACATAAAATACATATTATTTCAATTCCAACCCTCCATACACACGCATGCACACGCACGCACACACACACACATATTTTTTTTAAGAATGTTAATAACACATCCTCCTTTAAGAAAATGTTTCTTTGTAATCAATGTCTTCCTTTTAAGTGAAACCTTTAACAACTAAAAGAGCCTTATATCTCTCGATATTACCTTTTGAATCCCTCTTGGTTTTAAATATCCATTTACAACCAATAGATTTCACACCTTCATTTAATTCAACTAGATCCCAAACATCTTGTTCTTTCATATATTGCATCTCATCCTTCATGGCATCAATCCACTTTTGAGAGTTAGAACTACGCATAGCTTGACAGAAGTTGATTAGATCATCCTTTGTTAAACCAATGCCATCCTCATGTTCTTGGAGAAACACAATGTAATCATCTGGAATTGCACTTTTTCTTTCTCTAGTGAATCTACTTAATGACACTTCTTAAGGTTGTTGAGCTTGCTCTATAGGTATTTGAGGGAGAACCTCAATATTGTCTTGTGTTGGGACAATGTCAGGAATAACTCCATGATTGTCGCCTATTACTGGGGTAGGTACTGAAATAGTAATAGGCACGAGGACTTGATCACTGTTAATGACAGGTTCTTCCTCAAAGACAACAGTTCTTATGTTCTCTTCCTTCCCAAACTCAACATCCTCAAGGAATCTTGCATTCCTCGTCTCAAAGAATGATTTAGTAGTGAGATTGTAAAATTTATAGCCCCGAGAGCATTCAGGATAACCAACAAAATAACAGCTAAGAGTCCTTGATTCTAGCTTGCTTTCATGTGGCCTATAAGGACGTGCTTCAACTGGGTAACCCCAAATGTGAAAATACTTTAGACTTGGCCTTTTACCAGTCCATAGCTCATAAGGAGTTTTGTTAACTACTTTACTTGGTACCCTATTTAGGATGTAAACTGCAATCTTAAGCACTTCTCCCCACAATGACTCTGGTATGGAAGAATGACTAATCATACTTCTCACAATATCCTTAAGAGTCCTATTTTTACGTTCTGCAACACTGTTCATGCTTGGTTTCCCAGGCATAGTATACCGAGGAACGATGCCACATTCCTTCAGGAAAAGTGCAAAAGGCCCTGGACATTGTTCACCTGATCCATCATATCTGCCGTAATATTCACCACCACGATCAGATTTGACGGCCTTAATTTTCTTTCCAAGTTGAAGCTCAACTTCAGCTTTAAAAGAATTATGCTTATCCATCCCAAGTCAAACTCTTATCATATCTGATCCATCCCAAGTCAAACTCTTATCCATCACCTTATCCTATAGCCTCATATCTTGTCACCAAAATTATACTTCTCAAATTTCCTTCAACAATCCATTCGTTACTAAAGTCATACTTAGTCTCACACAACTAAGGGTAACCTTATAAGCCAAACTTAAATCTCTAATTTGAGCCAAAAGGATTCATCTCTCTAATCATAAGGGAAGATAAATATAAAGGTTTCCTACACAAAACATCGGTCACCACAATGGTTTTACTAAATAACAACTAAGTTTGAAATATTAGTCCTCCAAAAATTAAACTATTTGTTTTGTCTCATAATTAACTCCTTCAGTCAACAGATAATTAAGGCTCTAATTATCAATAAATACCTCAAGCTTAGAATCATATAAGTAGTGTCTCTAAATATTACAACTGCTAACTTAAAAAAATCATAGGTAAGGTAATTCCTCTAATGAGTTTTCAATTGCCTAGAATCACAAGCTACTACCTTTCTTCTTGCATCAATACTCCACCCAAACCTATCTTAGAAACATCAACCCATACCACAAAAGGCTTACTAAGATCGGCCAATGCTCACACTAGCGCACTAGTCGATCTTTCCTTAAGAATTTGGAAACTACTCTCACACTTACTATCTCACACAAAAATAACACTCTTCTTACTCAATCTGTTCAAAGGTAATGCTATCTTAGAAAGTTACTCAAAAAAATATCCAACAATAATGAGTTAATCAAAAAAAAACTCATAACCTTACTAATAGACTCAAGTATCTCACACTTAAGCACAACTTGTATCTTAGATAGATCTACATTTTACTTCCACAAGAAATTACATGGCTTAGAACACTTACCTCATACAATAAAAAATCATACTTAGATAATCTATCCTAAATTTATCTTGGATATATCTTCACACTTACTCTTAATATGATGATATCGCATCCTAAGGGCAATCTCATTAATACACAAACATCCACTAATTGATTCATAAAGTCATTTATCCTCATATCAACATACATGCATATACGAATCAATCATCATTTACACCATATAGCATGAATTAACCTTACCACATAGCATCATATCACCTTAAACATCCTTTCAATGACAACACCTCACAGAACATCACCAAATCTATTTTTATCCTTGCTATGCCTAACATCTCAAAACATCATGACAGCATATATCTACCTGAACAGAGTCATACTCATCCAAATGATCTCAAACCTATCTCAAACGAAAGCTAAGTGAATAAGCTACAACTCTTATGAAGACATAAGATTCCAAAAAGATCACCTTCTTAGCTAAAAATTCAAAAATCACTTCAAGTAAATTCAACTCTTACAACTAAACTTCTGATCACCAAAGCAGTCATAACTAAAGTTCTAGACCTCCGTTTTATCTTATTCCAGTTCCATCGGAAAGATAATATCCAGAGCCACAACTTTCATGAAGACCACAAAATCTGATTCTGTCAATATGATACTCATACTGGCACAAAGAAATTTCAACGAAAATATTCCTCATATCATACAGCAATAGTGTACTAACATTTCACAAAATACCTCAACCATTCCAAACTCACTCCTTTCTGCCTTAAACTCATATTCAAGCTTTCCATTACAATCCTGGACCAAAACAGCTCACATATTTAGTGCAAAGGACTTAGAGAATAAAATTCACATACTACCTAAACCATAAAAGGTTAACATGCCAGCACCAAAACTCAAGGAACGTTCCAATCTCTCATCAAAATATCAAAACTCCAATTCTCAGATACAACCTCCTTGGATTCAATCGCTACTACTATAGATTCCTAAATTCCATTAACCGTAAACTCTTAACAAATCAATGTCTCACCCAAATCTAAGGTCTCAATAATTTCTAGTTGATTATCAAGGCTTTGTCCGTACTATTAGTACATATGCTCACCATATGAGTGATCCTACTCAACCACTACTTCTTACGTAAGCAAGAAGTATCAAACAAATAAGCAATCATGAGAATAACAAAGAGCAATCAGAAATAGCATCATCAAATTATATCATGTCTATCAGACAAATCCTGAGAACACAATGCACACAAATAAATAAACAACAACCCAATCAATCATCACATTAGCACATCAATAAGTTCAACAATCAACTTGTCACATTATTAATCTACCAAACAAGCATAGTAGACTCATAACTCACGGCCGATTGGATCGACCTGCTCTGATACCACTAAATGTGACACCCTTACTACCCCAATGCATATATTGTAATAATGAAAACTTATAAATAAATATTTCAATTTTGGTAAAAGGGTTCACATGAGAATCTTCAAAATTATTCTTCAATAACCACAATAATAAAAATAAAACACAAGAGTTTACAAATTATTTTCAAAAGTAATAATTACAATTCCAAATCCATATAAAAATATGTCCTAAAAGAAATCCCCTGCCCCGATGTCACAATATCATAGCATACCCACAATTCCATTGTTGGCATTCTAGATGTCACTCGAAGCCAGATCTTCTTCACCTAAAACATCCACAAAATTATACGGTGAGAAAAGAAAACATTTATATGAAAAGTACATACAAACACACAACATGTCATCTCATTATAACTCGATACTTAACAAAATATTCATAAACATTTCAATGTATCATAACTTTATCAATCGCGCATCGTCATCAAGTCACAATTCGCAATCACAACAATCATCACAAATCTTGCAATCAACCCTATCCAAGGTCACGCCTATAGCATCTCTTGCCCAAGGTCGTGCCACCCCCGACATAAGTATTAATTACCTCACACATCCCACCTGATGCCAAGGTCACGCCTGTAGCATCTCTTTGCCCCATGCCAAGGTCACGCCTATAGCATCTCTTGCCCAATGTCGTGCCACCCCTGACATAAGTATTAATTGCCTCACACATCCCACACCATGCCAGGGGTACGCTCGTCCTTTACCCGAGATTCGTATCATCCCTGGCCATTAGTGCGAGAGACCACAATCAATGTTTTTTATTTGTGGTGCAAGTGATTGGGACACACGTCTCTTAAGGTTTTCGAGTTGGTTCTAGATATTGGTTCTAGTAAAAGTAATGAGTTATGTAATAAAGTTTTTTATGCTTGTCTTATAGCTAAACAATGTAGAGAAAACTTTCCTTTTAACATTTATAAAGCCTTGGATAGTTTTCAATTAATCCATTATGACTTATAAGGACCATATAGATTTATATATCATTGTGGTGCATGATATATTTTGACCATTGTAGATGATTATTCAAGAGTCACGTGGATTTATCTTTTAGAAGAAAAGAAAGAAGTTTCTACACATGCATAAATTCTTTGTTATGGTAGAACATCAATTTGGTAAAGAGGTGAAAGTTTTGCATAATGACAATGGTACAAAATTTGTATGCATAGATAACTTTTTTTCAAAACCATGGGATTGTACATGAAACATCTTATATCAAAACTCCACAACAAAATGGAAAAGTAGAGTAGAAACATTAACAGATCCTTAATGTTACTAGTTCACTACACTTTCTGTAACACCAAAGGAATTTTCTAATTATTAATAATAATTAATTAGGGAGATGATAATGATTTTATTTTATTTTGTGATTAATAGTTTTTATTTTATACATTAAATAGATTTAATTATTAAGAGGAGCATTAGATATTATTAAAAATATAAGGCTTAGAGAAATATGGTTATATATTAGAAGAGAAGGGAGAAAGGGTTATTTTTTTATTATTCATCTAATTCACTTTTCTAATGCTTAGGTGCTTTAAAGAGAACGTATCTGAAGAATAAAGAGAATGGATTACCAGAGAGGAGGAGGAATCTTAGATCTAATATGTTGCATCACTCCAAGTAAAGGGGGAGTGAGAACACTCATTTATGGGGATTGGATCTATACATGAAGGATAGAGAGATTGACCTCAATCCCATAAGTTTTCTCTTTGATGAGATGTTATGTGTGTTTGATGTGATTTATTAAGTAGATTTTGAATATGTAATTTATTTGATGATCAAACAATTTTAGAGTAATTAATTAAGTGCTCTATAGAAAGGTGTTAGAACCCTAAGCGGAGAAATTTGTTGAATTTAAGGGGTAAAAGTTGTAAACGATAAAATTGGTGAATTTTTAGACGTAAAACGAGTTCTGGGAAATTATAATTTGTATGATTGATTGTGGAAACGTTTATTTCAAGATCTAGCAATTTTGATGTTGGTGATTGGGTGTTGGATAACACGCGGCACTAGGCTTGAGTGCTCAAAGTTGGGGGAAAAATATTTTATATCATTTATTTATTTAATTATTTTTGGGAAAAAAGAAGTGGGTCAAAAAAAGAAGTGGAACGACCCGTTCTCAATTAAATTTTTAGGCAAATTCTTTATTCCGGAACGGCCCGTTTCACTTTTGAGACGGCCTGTTCCGGGCAACGAATTGGGTCTAAGGCCCAATGAAAATTGGGCTGTTACAATTAAGACTTCTCATGAATTAAAAATAGGTAGTCGTACCTTGAATAATCATCTATGAACGTAATGAAATATTGTTGCCCATTCCAAGATGACATAAGGAATGGTCCACAAATATCTGTGTGAATTAATTCCAAAACGTCCTTAGCCCCTTCGACACCTAATTTTCTAGAATTTGTTTGTTTACCCTTAATACATTCAACGCAAACCTCAAAGTCTAAAAAGTCTAAGGGTTCAAGAATCTCATCCGATACAAGCCTCTGAATTCTCTATTTAGAGATATGGCCTAAACGCTTATGCCATAAGGTGGCTGAGTTCTCATTTATTTTAGGCTTCGTACCACGAGAATCAATGTGAAAATTTTCTTTATTAGAACTAACTACATCTAGTAAGTATAAATTATCAATTAAAGAACCAAAACCAACAACATTTGAATTTTGATAGAGGCTAAATTTATTATTTCCAAATGAACAAGAAAAACCAAATTTGTCCAAACTAGAAATAGAAATTAAATCCTGCCTAAAAAACGGTACAACAAAGTCTCAGCAACATGTATTATGAAATTCAATTTTAAAACTTCTATCACTAAGTTGACTTATGCTCAGCAAATTATGTTTCAGCCCATCAACAAGCAATACATTTTCAATCAATGTTTGAGAGGAGGAGTTACCAATATTACCATGACCAAGAATTCTCCCTTTGTTGTTGTCACCATAGGTAACATACCCTTCATTCTTCAATTTCAGACTTGAGAATTTTGAAGGATCTCTAGTCATATGCCTTGAGGAGCCACTATCAAGATACCATAGTAAGTTCTTGGCCCTCAAGCATTCCTACAACAAAGATTCAGAGAAAAAATTTAGGTACCCATGTGAAGGGTCCTTGTAGGTTAGTTCTCAGCCTTTGGCTCTTTTCAATCCAAACCATTTCTCCATTTGGAACTCCATATTTCCTAGAGTAGCAGTTTCTTATTGTGTGACCTCTTTTACAACAATAATAGCAAGTTGTTTGTCTAGAGAAATTGCTTTTAAATTTTCTGAAATCTTGGTTTTTCTTAAAAGCTCCTTTCTTTGACTTGAATGGCATGCTCATGCTTTGATTAAAACCAAGTCCACTCCTATCAAAAGTGTTTCTTTGTTTTCCCAAAAGAATATTCAAATTTGCATTTCCATTTGTGAACTTTGCAAGAGTGGTTTTTAAATCAGCATTTTCTTTTTCAAAAGTCTTGCAATTTTCACAAACATCTTTTGAGGAGGAGGAGGTTTCACAATGAGCTTCACTAAAGTTGAAAATAGTTTGAAGATTTTCATGCTCATGTTTCAAATCCTCAAGCTCTTGTTCAGCTTTAATTAAAGCATTTTCATACCATTTCAGCTTGCTTTTAAGCTTTGAATTTAAGGCATCTAATTTCACAGCCTCTTTATGAATTTGTATAAAAGCTTCTTGGAGTTGATCATAGTCCGGATTTGATTCAAGGTCAGAATCACTTACAATTGTGTCTTGGTCAGCTCCAGCCATCAAACACAAGTTGTTCTCTTCAAATTCAGATTCATCACTTGTTGTGCTTGAGTCATTATCTTCCCAAGCAATGTAGGCTCTCTTCCCTTTGCCATTTTTCTTCATTTTCTTCTCCTCTTGTTGCTTCTTCAAGAGGTTTGGACACTCAACTTTTATATGTCCCGGTTTTCCACACTCAAAGCAATTATAAGAGGATGTACTTGCTTCCTCTTTCTAATCGGTCTTTCTATTGAACTTGTAGGGGGAATTCTTCTTTTTCCTTAAGAATTTTTTGAACTTCTTCACCAGAAAGTTGAAGTTCTCAGTTTCGGAATCATCGAAGCTTGATTCTTCACACACCTCTTTACCTTTGGCAAATTTCAAGGCCTTTTATGACACTCCTTTGCCCTTCTTGTCCTGCTGTTCATTTTCTTCAAATATGTCTAGCTTTTGCTCAAGCTCTCTTAGCTTCCCAAAGAGAGTAGCAAGGGTTAAAGAGGTCAAATCCTTTGATTCTTCTATGGCTATCACCTTTGCTTGCCATGTTCTGTCCAAGCATTGCAGCACTTTCAAATTCAGCTATTCTTTTTCAAATTTCCTGTCAAGGTCAACAAGGTGATTTATCAAGTGTGTAAATCTATTTTGAAAGTCAGAAATAGATTCACCATTGTTCATTCTAAAAAATTCATATTCTCTTATGAGAGTGTGTTTTCTAGATCTCTTTACATCACTTGTTCCTTCATGAGTGACTTGCAAAGTATCTCGCATTTCTTTAGCAGATTTGCATTGTGATATTCTAAAAAACTCATCAATGGACAATGCAGATGTAATAATGTTTTTGGCTCTATAGTCATATTGGGCTCTTTTCTTTTCATCATCACTCCACTCACTCCAATGTTTTTCTCTCTTCTCATCATCATCTTTTGTCATAGGGATATAAGGTCCATTTTCAATTGCATCCCACACAGCAATATCAATTGCATCAATGAAAATTCTCATTCTAATTTTCCAGTAGATATAGTTTTCACCATTGAAAATAGGAGGTCTATGTATAGACACACCCTCACCATAGGGTAGGTTGCTATTGGCCATTTTTGAAATCTTGAATAACTCTCAAGAACCTTGCTCTAGATACCAATTGTTAGAAAAGAATAGCTTAATCCAAGAGGGGGGGTGAATTGGATTCTATGACACTTTAAAAATTTTCAGAGTATTTAGGATCATTATTTCAATTAAACTTTTCTAAATCTGAATTTTTAATGAAGTTTCTTAAAGACTTGTTATTGAAGAATGAATCCTATATGCTTTCTTGATTAACCAATAATGAGGTTCAAAGATAATATCAATATGTAATGCTTTGATTCAGTTCAAACCAATATTATTAATGCACACATGTTAATAAAAAACAATCTTCTTTAATGCACAATCAAGATATTACAAAAAGTAAAAGATAAGGGTAAGAGAAGATTGCACAAGTCTTTTATCCTGGTTCAGCCACTCCACATGTGACCTACATCCAGTCCTCAATCATAACCTGATCAAGATTTGTTTCACTATCTTAATGAAGAAGGTTTACAAGCATACCACACATGCATATACTCCTACATTCAAGATAACCACTTTCTTGACCTCAAGAAAGCACCCCTTGTAGAAACCCACTATAAGAATTCCTTACCACTTGAGAAACCTTCTCAAGATTTACAAGTATTCACAAAGAATAAAGGAACGAATTCACCTGGAATTCAGAAGCAAATCTTAATCTCTTTCCTTTCAAGAATGTGATGATGATGATCTTTTCTCAAAGCTTTTCACAAATGTTTTTCTTCTTGGATTCACAAAGAAAACTCTCCAAGATTGTCACAAAGACTTCACAAAAACGCTTTTCTAATTTTGATTCTCAATTCTAACTTTGTTCTAAAGTTTCAAAATGTTCAAACTATTTATAAAAGTTTCAGAACCAGATAATTGATTATTTTAAAGAATAATCGATTATTTTGTTCTTCAGATTTTCTGGAAATCCACCAAGAACAATTTAATCGATTATTTTGTTGAATAATCGATTATTCCAGAGAGTCATTTCTAGGATAATCGATTATTTCACAAATAATCGATAATTGCAGCAAGGCATCCCTTTTTGCCTTTTGCTGGAATAATCGATTATATTTAATTATAATCGATTATTTTGAGTTAGTTTTCAAAACTTTGTTTTAAGTCTCAAAATAACTTTTTAACCTTTAAATTCATCATCATACACTCCCTAATCAGATTAAATATAGATTTAGCTTATGCACACAGCACACACAAAATATAAACTCAATCAAAACAATTTTATACACTATAAACTACTCCTATTACATAGCATTTCCCTTTGACTTTGTTTTTTTACTTCTTTGTTGTTGATGTCCTTGGTACACACTTGTTATCATCAAAACTCTTCAAACTTCAGAGGTGATCTCATCAATCTCAGGCTCTCCAATCTCAACAAGTAGTAGTACCAGAATCTACCCACCAAGTATCATGTGGTACAAAAGTTAAATTAACTTCAGAACAAACAAAAGAGAGAAAATTACCTTTCTTTACACGCCAAGAGGCGTACTTGGGACACTCTTTCTTCATGTGCCCAGGCTTCTTGTAGAAGAAGCAAGTAGGTGTGTTCTCATCTTTTTTGACTTTCTTTTGCTGAGAAGTCATTTCTACAACATCCTTATTATTCTTTCACTTCCTATTCTGAGTGTTTGACGCTAAATGAGCACTTTCAGTCTTTTCTCTTTGTTGCCTTTCCTCCTCTTGCACACAGTGAGAAATCAGTTTATTCAAGGTCCATTTATCTTTCTGAGTATTATAACTCACCTTGAATTGTCCAAAGTGTGTAGGAAGGGAAATCAAAACTAGGTGCATGAGCAAATCATCAGACAACTCTAACTTTAGTGCTTTTAGTTTTGACGCGAGATTAGAGATTTTCATAATATACTCCTTTATATTTCCTTTACCTTTGTATCTCATAGAGATAAGTTTAGCAAGCAAATTGCTTGCATAAGCTTTCTCATTACTGGTGAAATACTGCTCAATAGCATCAAGGGAAACCTTTAGCATTGTGGCTATCAGAAATAGAGCCCCGAAAAACTTCTTGAACAGATCGCTTCATGATCATCAGACACATTCGGTTTGAGCGTTCCCACTTTTCAACCTTATCCTCATCCAGGGTTTCCAGAGTTGGAGTGGGTTTCTCAGCCCGAAGTGCAAGACCAAGATCCATGCAGCCAAGAATTATCTCAATTGCTTCCTTCCAAGCCTTAAAGTTTGTCCCATTAAGCATGGATATACAATTAATTTGAGCAGACAAGTTAACAGAACTAGCAACAACAACTGTAATAGAACATAGATAATTTTTTTTAATTACATGCTCACAAAGTAAAATAAAAATAAAATAAAAACAAATAAAATATGCAGCTTATTTACATAATAGACCCATTACAAGATACCGAGTACAATATTAATTCTTTGTTTTTGGACATACAAATTAACTTGTTAGTGGTACTCTCAATGCAACGATCAAATATTGACAATTAATTCTGTCAAATAATAGGCTTTCTTTGGACCGATTATTATTCACATGATTGTAACTTTATAATTGTAACATATTTATCATCACAAGCATGTTATTATTTGGCCAAATTGTGTCTTCCTTTGGGATGAGCACAAATTGCTTAAATAATCTCATACTAACATCTATTATAATTTTTAATTAAATTAATTTCTATAACAGAGATTGCTTTGGCAATTGTACTAACCGTACCGCTATGACGAGCTCAATCTCGGCATCTCAGTGTAAAGTGACCTCGGATACGCGCTAAGCCACGTCAGCTCGGCCTCCGGATAGGTCATAAACTGATCTCAGGCCCAAGGCCCAGGAGAACCCTAATTCACACTAAGGTACGTGCATTACTTATACGAGACTTATACACACACAAACCCTAACTTTAGCATTGGAGTCTCTTTTGCAGGTACCACCCCCATCTCGGAGCATCAAACGTATCAGTGAAGGAGGCTCACCGACCTTACCCAGCAGATTGTCCCTACCACCGATCTTCGGTAAGAACATTTGGCGCCCACCGTGGGGCCGATCAAGACAACTCTTATCGGCCACGCTTATGGTTTGCACCAGAAGCCATAGCAGACGCGCAACAGACGACCTAGATCATACATCTACCATGGATAACGAAGCCACATTGAGGAGACTGATCAACCGGGTCAAACAGATGCGGCAACAACACGACGCCGATCTGCAAAACATGCGTGGCAAGCACGAAACTGACCTCACAGTGATGCGGATCGCTAATGAGGCTGACCTAGCGACACTGCGCGTTGAGAACGAGCGGATTCGCGCCTAGCTCCCTCGGCGCCCTTCTAATCATCCTCCTCAAGCAAGCAACCTGCATGAGGAAGAGGGGCATTCGATCTCTCAACCCCGAACTGCGCCTAGGGCACCAACTCCTCGACCAGCCACGCATCGGTCTCATGCACTGACGAACAAGTCAGTCCATGAAGTTAGCAAGGCTCCTACTCATGTCACGGGGAACGAGCAACCTTCCGCCGTCACCCCTTTGTGGATGGCATCATGGAGACGCCACTCCCTCACGGGTGGAAACCTCTCCACCTCAACCGATACGATGGCACAACGAACCTGGACGAGCACATCGACTTGTATACAACACAGGTAAATCTCTACACTAACAATGATGTTATTCTGTGTAGGGTTTTTCCGACCTCACTCAAAGGGGCCGCACTCAATTGGTACACCCAATTGTTAGCCGAGTCCATCGACAACTTCCACACTCTGGTGAGGCAATTCACGGCCTAGTACGCCACCAGTCGACCCCACCATGTCACATCGGCCAGCTTGGCTAGCCTCCGCCAAGGCGATGATGAGTCATTGAGGGCATTCATGGAGCGTTTCGCCAACATCTCGGTCAAAATACAAAATCTAAACCTTGAAGTCGCCCTGCATGCCATGCTCATCGCACTCAAGCCCGGACTATTCGTCGACAGCCTATGTCGTGAGGCCCCTCGCGACATGGACGAGCTCCGCGCCCGTGCTGCGGGGTACATCCAAATGGAAGAACACGCCGCCTTCCGTGACCAGGTTTGCGGAAAATCACAAGCGAAGCCCGACAATGGCCACAAAGACAAGATGAAGGTCACCAACGACAGCCAGTTCAAGAAAACTGCTAGGATGAACAAGGGGGAAGATACGAATTCTACACTCCCCTGAACACGCCCAGAGTTAACATCCTGGAGGAGGCCAGTAACAGCAACTTGCTCACCCTGCCACCACCAGGTCACACTCCCAACAGTGCGGACAAGTCCAAACACTGCCGATATCATAGAAACCACGGTCACACCACTGAAGAGTACCGCACACTCCGAGACCGCATTGAGGAACTCATCCAGGCGGGCCACCTCGGCCAATATGTCCAACGACAGCAGGGTCACCGAGGAGGTTATGGTGGACGAGGACGAGGCAGAGGTCGTGGTTCGGGAGCCCGCATAGACCAACCCTCTAGCTCTCAGCAAAATGCCGGTGGAGCAGTGAAAGCCGAGGTAAGCCAGGAAACAAGATCAGCTCCCCTACGAGGAGTAATCAACACAATTACAGGTGGTTTCGCAGGGGGAGGCGCCAGCAGCTCGGCCCGGAAGAGACACTTGCGTAATATCAAAAGCGTCCACTCCACTACCTTGGCTTCGCACCAAAGCTCACCTCCGATCACCTTCACCGATGATGACTATGCTGGCGTCAGCCCCAATCAGGATGACCCCATGGTCATCGCCGTGGAGGTAGCCAATTGGGAGGTCCGCAAGATGCTGATTGACCAAGGGAGCTCGGCTGATGTCCTGTATTGGCCGACGTTCCTCAGGTTAGATATCCCTCACTCTCTCATCCAACCTCACACAGAGCCCCTAGTCGGTTTTGCAGGAGAGCGAGTACACACTCGGGGATACGTGGACCTGCTGACAACTTTCGGGACCTCTCCAGACAAAAGGCGGATTATGGTCCGATACCTCCTCGTGGAAGCCAACACTTCCTACAACCCAATCATTAGGAGGTTGACCTTGAATCACCTCGGAGCAGTGGTGTCTACCCCACACCTCACCATGAAATTCCCAGGGAGTGAGGGGAAGATTATTTTTGTCATAGCAAATCAGAAGACAGCTCGACAGTGTTACACCGAGAGTCTGAAAGTCTCCTCGCCCGGCGACCGATGCAAGAGTGATCCCCCTACGGTGGCTCACATCACCCATGAGGAGATCACTGACCTCGACCTGAGGTCCGATTCCCATGATGAGTGACCGAGTCCCATCAACGAGCTCGATGACCTCCAAATCGAAAAACTCCCGGGGCAATGCAGGAAGATCAACAGGAAGTTGAACCCGGAGTTACGGCAACAACTCGAAGCTGAAATTATGAAGAATGTCGACCTCTTTGCGTGGTCTAGCGCCGACATGACAGGTATAAATGCTAACTTCATCTGTCACAGGTTGGCAATCCACAAGGAGGCAAGGCCGGTGGCCCAGAGGAAGAAGAAAGTCAGTGGTGAGAGGCGAGAAGCCGTCATCACCGAGACACAAAAGTTGCTAAACGCTGGCTTCATCCGTGAGGTCAGGTATAGCACATGGCTGGTAAACGTGGTGCTGGTAAAAAAGAACTCAGGAAAGTGGCGGATGTGCGTCGACTATACCGACTTGAACAGAGCATGCCCCAAGGACTCATACCCCTTACTGAGTATCGACAGGCTGGTCGATGGGGCATCCGGGCACGCCTTCCTCAGCTTTCTAGATGCCTATTCAGGGTACAACCAGATCATGATGTACCCGCCAGACGAGGTGCACACATCATTCATCACCGACCATGCCAATTTCTGCTACAGGGTGATGCCATTCGGCCTTAAAAACGCAGGGGCCACTTACCAGCGGCTGATAGACAAGGTTTTCCACTAGCAGATCAGGAGAAATATGGAAGTCTATGTCGACGACATGGTGGTAAAAACCACCTCGGCTGAGGGTCATGCTGCTAACCTCGCCGAGGTCTTCAGCCAGATCAGGAGACACAACATGCGTCTCAACCCAGAGAAGTGCGTCTTCGGTATCCAGGGAGGTAAGTTCCTTGGTTTCATGATCACTAGCAGGGGGATCGAGGCCAACCCGGAAAAGTGCAAGGCCATCATTCAGATGCAGAGTCCCCAGACCGTGAAAGATGTCCAGCGTCTGGCAGGAAGGTTGGTCTCCCTTTCCCGTTTTATCCCCAGGTTGGCGGACAAAGCAGGGCCCATCTGTTAAGTCTCAATTTTACCTCTTTTTGGATGAGACTTATTGAACAAATTCCACTCATCCTTTGAACCATTGCAATATAATTGTTCTCTTTTTGGTTCATTTTGTGTGCAGATATAACTAACCCAAATTCAGCTAACAATACCTTAATACACCTCATTTTTTGTGCAGGTATTGAGCTAGTGACTTGAGGATTGAAGACTCTTAGGATTGGAAACCTAAGAAGCTAAGGAGCAGAGAAGAGGTTCTGCGCCGGGCTCAATATAACCTGCGCTGGGCGTGACAAAAACAGAGTATTTCATCTCTGCCAGTTATATTGCGCCGGGCGCAAAAGGAATTAAGCCGGGCGCAAAAGGAATTGCGCCGGGCTTGTGTTGAGACAGAGAGTGCTTGACTTCTCTGGAAGAACTTGCGCCGGGCGCGAAGAATTGTGCGCCGGGCGCGGAACCCTAATCTGATCTCCCAGGCTCGTATTTGAAGCCATTTTCGGGGATCTTTCTCTCCATTCTCACATTGGGCGCCTCCAGGAGCTGCGGAAGGGATTCCCAGGGCTTGGGATCGTCCGTGTGCGGATCTTTCCTTCGGTTCTTCACTTCCTCTTCCATCTCTATTTTGTATTTGCCCTCTTTGTTGAGTGGTTTCACCCATTTTGTGGGGTTAGATGTAACCAACGTACTCTATTGTAATCTTTACGGTTTTAATGATATATATACATGTTGTTTTATTCTTTGTTGTGTTTGTTTCTATTCTTAATGCTTGCTTTGGATTGATCACCCTTTGCATGATTTAAGGTTCCATGGGTATTGGAAAATAACCTTTGAAACTAGTTCTGAAACATATGCCTAGTGGTGATTGTATCTAGGGATAGAGCTTGACCCATTAGTAGTCTTAAACCCTAGCCCGTAATGCGGGTGTAGATATTGGGTACTCAAGGTATGCTTATGGATTGATTTTGTATATTGAGTGAAATTCCTTCCTGCAACTTACATA